GCTTGAGAGTATGGGTTGATGTAGACAAAGCGACATCTGTACCTTCGAGAGGCTGGAGGGATAGAGTCTTGGTGAGTTGTTCGGTTGCATCTGTACCGCGTCAGTCATTCGTTCGTCATTAGTGATAGCTCGCAATTTTATCGACGTACCAGTTATGCTCTTCATGTTACCCAACTGCAGTGTTTCAGTCGCCGAATCACCGTTCGACTGTTCCCAGACATTATCAAAACTGCCTGCATATGCGGGAACAACGTAGTCAGCACCAGTGAGGTACAGATCCTCAACCTGGTACTCATCTGGATACCCATCACCTTCTTCTGGCTCGTTTGTGCTCGGGTCGATTTCCTTGCTGGTGAACTTGAGTACGTTGGTGAAGCTGGCGGCGATAAACTGCGACTCGGTCTCCAGGCGCTTGAAGGATACGTAGACTGTACCAGGCTCGTTGGTGACGAGCTTTGGCGCTGGAATGACAAACTCTTCTTCTAATTGCACGTCACCATCGTCTTCCGGTGTGACAACCATCTCGACATCCATCAATACTGTGTCCTCAAGAGTGTTCTTGATGTCGTACTGAATGACAATGTGGTCCTTGAAGATGTGCTTGATGGCAGTGACGACGTATTCGGTCTCGGATTCAGTGAGCTCGACGACATCGCTTGACTTGAGCACGCCGCCGTGCGCAGCCAGTTCTGGAATCTTTTGCAGTTCTGTAGCGTATTTCTGCGCGTTCGATGCTGCGTTCGCGGCAGCATCGGCACCAGCTTTCGAAGGTGCCTTGGTAGCACTGGGTGCTTTGAGGGTTGGAGTAGCGCCTTCGGTTTTCTTGGTAAGGTCTGCCGCGTCTGCTTGCTCGCGCGACACTGTGGGGATTTTGGTGATGTCGAAGGCTGTCTCGAAGGTGTCGCGGGAATCCGAACTGACGTACATGGCCAGCTGGTGCTCAAGAACAGGAAGGGAGAACATGGAGTCGTTACGGATGAAGTTAACAGCCATGTCGTCGTCCTCCTGGTCCATCAAACGAAGACTGAGCGCAGCGCGATCACGGACCTCGTCATCAACATCGTCCAGACACCTTGTGAGGAGGACGTGGACAGACTTCTTGATTTCGGGGTCCTTTTGTCCGACGCCGAACTTGGACAGAGCAGAGGTCGCCGCAGCCCTAACGATCGCATTCTCTAGGACTACGCGGTTGTAGATGTAACGGATGTATTTGGTAGGGTGTGGTGTTGAGGGACCTTCACGTCCAAGTACGAATAGAATCCTGACGGCGAGCTTTGTGAATTCGCAATCCTCGATGAACTCGCAAAGTGTGGCAAGCGCATCTTCCTTGGCCTCAGGTACGAAGCGAATGAGGTCCATGATAGCCTCGACAACGGATCGCTTGAACTCGTAGCCGCCTTCGTCGCGAAGAATGCCGCTGAGGAAAGCAAGGAATCCGGATTGCTTCGCCTTGAACTTCAGTGCCAATGTCCGGACAGCTTCTACAATGGTGACCTTGAACTCGTCGGTGATCTCAGCCATGAAGCCAGTGATCTGCTTCATCAACCTGTCAACCGAAGACTCGTTGCCTGTTTTGAGGAGTGTGGTGATGGCGAAGGTGGCAATGCTGCGGTTCGAGTTGGTGATGAGCGATTCGATGTCCTGGTTGCATGAGCGAACGGCGTCGGGCTTGAAGGAAGCCATTTGCGACAAGATGCGGAGGGCGGCAAACTTGGTGACGGCGCGAGGAGAAGTGAGGAAGAGCTGGAGGACGTGGACGGCTTGTACGAGCTCGGCATCGGTAACGTCGCGCATGTCGCAAATGGCCTTTGCAGCCTCGAAGTTGACCATCTCCGACTTGTGGCGCAACCAGCCGTCGAGGAGTTGCATCATAGGCTGTAAAAGTTGTTAGTATATATCTTTCGGAGGATATTATATAGCTCACCTTTCGCAGATTTGGGTCCTCCTCCGCGAGCTTAGCTGCTAATCTGACCAGCAGGACAGTAGCGGCAGGGCTCTTGACGACACCAGCAGCAGAGTACTGCTGCACCATCTTGACCAGGCTCATCCTGTCGCCGGCGCGCATCTGGTATAAGAGACCAATGGCATGGTACTGTGTCATGTAGTTTGTGCTGGCCTGGAGGGTGGTATGTGAGCCCCCTCCAAACCCTCCCAAGAAACCACCACCCGACTTGCTTCCCGACGCGGCCTCGGCGGCCTCTGACTGCCATCTTCGGACGACATCCTTGGCGACTGGGAGGAGGTGGTACGAGGAGACAAGGGCGGCGGAGGAGACTGAGGGGTTCTTGTCGACTATGCACGTCTTGACGAGACGCTCGATGGCCTGGACGGTGGAGGCGTCGATGACGCGGCAGAGGGCGCGGATGGCGTTGGGGCGGTATACGACGTCGCTGCCAACGGAGGTGTCCTTCATGATCGAGGAAGTGACCATGATGACATCGTCGGCGGAGCCAGCGAGCTCCTTGATGACCAGGTAGACCATCTGGCGGAGCGAGGCATCCTTGTTCTGAAACAGCTTGGAGATGCCAAAGAAGAGGGTCGTGGCTTCCTGGCGCCCCCAGCTCTCGCCGGTGAAGAGCAGCAGCGCCAGCTTGGTCAGGATCACTCTACATTTCCTGGGCGAGATGGGGCTCTGGTTGAATACTCGTGCTGGACAGCGTCAGCGTCCCCCGCCAACCTCTGGCGCGTGCGGGAGGTGCCCTACCTTCTTGGAAGACGGACGTCTTGTCGATCTGGGCGACTCCCCCGGCGTCCTCGTGCTTCTTGTCCATGGTGTTGTGGTGCAGCTCCGCGTGCTAGCTCGCGGTGTGTGTATAAACTGGTCCCGCTCTTCCTCCGCCTAACGTGGCCTCTTGCGACGGGGGGTGCAAACGTGTCCAAGTGCGACCGTGCAATTGGAATTGGTGGGCGAGGAGACGTGGACGGTGCGGGGCGAAGTCGCAATGGTGTTTGCCTGGCCGTCTGGAATTGGCGACGTTGAAGATGCCCTCGACCAGCGCGAGCAAGTGCACCTGCAGGGATGTCGGCGTGTGGGCTGCTCTTGCATGTTCCAGGGCTTGGCGCCCGGAATGCGCAACTCAATGCGGTGCGGGTATTCAAGGCTCTGCCGCGCAAGATATACCCAACACCTCCATTCACTCACTATCCCTCTCTCTTTTTGTTCATTTACACATACGACCATGGCAGCCTCAATCCCACGATCGCGAAGTCTCCTCTCCTCGTCCACTTTAAAAGCTGTCCCTCGCTCAAGGACGCCGCTTAGAACTTTTGCCACGACCTCCGACACGCCGCAAACCGCAGTACCAGAAGCCCCCACAAAGCGGTCACGACCACCGACGTCTTTCAGCGATACACTGAATGCCGGTCCATCGTTTGGCGATTTCGTCAATCCCGAGGCGCCCCTCTCCCCCGCCGAGGCATATGAGATCAAGACGGTGCAAGTGGGCCCGGAAGGCCGCAAGAAGACCATCACAAGACTTCCAGAGTGGCTGAGGACGCCGATACCCTCAAACGCAAACCAGAACTACAAGCAGATCAAGAAAGACTTGCGCGGGCTGAATCTAGCCACAGTCTGTGAGGAAGCAAGATGTCCCAACATCTCAGATTGTTGGGGCGGAAGTTCCAAGAGTGCGGCGACGGCGACCATAATGCTCATGGGAGACACATGTACAAGAGGCTGCCGGTTCTGCGCCGTAAAGACATCTAAAGCACCTCCACCACTGGATCCCCACGAACCAGAGAACACCGCTGAAGCGCTGCGGAGGTGGGGGCTGGGCTACGTCGTCATCACCGTGGTTGATCGCGATGATCTCGTGGATTCCGGAGCGCATCACATTGCCGAAACCATTATGAAGATCAAGCAAAAGAACCCGACGCAGCTTGTTGAATTGCTGGGTGGAGACTACGGAGGCAATCTGGAGATGGCCAAGGTAGTCGCACGGAGTGGTGTCGATGTCTTCGCGCACAACATTGAAACAACCGAGCGCCTCACGCCATTTGTCCGCGACAGGAGAGCCAAGTTCAGGCAGAGTCTGGATGTGTTGAGGTCAGCTAAGGAGGCGCGCCCTGAGCTCATCACCAAGACCAGTATGATGCTGGGCTTGGGCGAGACGGATGAGGACCTCTGGCATGCGTTGAGGGGTACGTTCATACAGCCTGATGTTCCATGAGACCAAATTAACGTTCATCCAGAACTCCGCGCAAACAACGTCGACGTCGTAACCTTTGGCCAATACATGCGCCCCACCAAGCGCCACATGGCCGTCCACGACTACGTTACACCCGATAAATTCGAACTCTGGCGCCAGCGCGCCCTCGACATGGGTTTCCTATACTGCGCCTCCGGCCCACTCGTACGCTCAAGTTACAAGGCCGGCGAGGCCTTTATCGAGAACGTACTGAAGAAGCGGAGGATGGGCAACGCAGGAAAGAACGAAGTCGCGGATCTCAGTGTCGCAGAAGAGACTACCAAGACGTTGTAAATATATAGATTCATGGATATACTTCATCGCTTTTATGCGACTTCGGGATTACTTCAACTCGATCCTGAGTAGAAGTCTGCTTCAACCAGGCTGTTCAATGTACAACACCTCTTTTGACCACATAACTGTTTGACGGCATTTAATTCATGCGACGCCTCAACAAGCGTCGAGAAACAACGCATCTTTGCGCTCCTAATGATCAACACTAAAAAAGTGGCAACTGAGGAACACTTCATACGCGTATATATGTATAGACCATTACAAAAGGTCTCTTGTGTAACAACCCACACCTCTCCAACCTCCCAGACGCCATTTGGCGAAACATCGCGCGGAAGAAAAGATAAACGACCGTCATATGTACAGAAAACCCTTGCGTGTACACCCAACCAAAAAGTGCAACTAGTTCCGAGGAAAACAAATCCAGTTCCCACTAAGACATCGCCTAGTGGGTCACAAACTTCCGACAACGTGCAGACGTCCATCCAGCGTCGAGATCAAGAAGACAACGCAGGTATGCGCCTAGTTGTTCGGCATACCAGCGCGCAGATTCTCATACTTGCTCACCGGGTAGCTAAGCAGATTCTTGGTTTGATCCAGGGCACCAATACCGCCAATGTTCTTGACAAACTATATCGAGATGTCAGTTATTTCCTCTTTCACTGGCACACACACATCGAGGTAAAGCGCAAGAATCGAAAATACTTACCGTGGAGATCAAACTCTGGTCACCTTTCTTATCGCTCGAACTCTCCCACCACATACCACCACCCAGTCCTCTCTCTCGGATGTACGCAGTCTTCTTGGCGATGACTTGAGGTGTGTCGTAGCTGACCATGAACCTTTTGGCTGGGTCATAGCACCAGCTAGCAATAACGCTGTCGTCGTAATTTTCTTGACAACCAGCAACGGGAAGCTTGCTGTAGTCGAATACGCCATTTTCCCATGTACCGGGGCCGATGCCTGAGAAGGGCTTCCCGGGCCCATCGGTGTTTTCGAAAGAGCGGCCGTACAGGGGCATGCCGAGGATGATGTTGTTAGGGTTAATACCCGCCGCGATGTAGTCGTCAACTGCCTTCTTCGTACTAAAGGGGGTGCTGGTGGGATTGGAAGAGGATGGGTTCACGTTGGCCTGGTGGCCAGCGTTGGCGTCCCAGGATCCGGCGTAGTCGTAGGCCATCTAGCAATGGGTGTTAGTTGTCGAAGTGACTTTATGAGTCAAGAATACTGACCAAGTTCCAGAAGTCAAGATACTGATCCATTGCCTTGAGCTTCATTTTGTTGTAATTGGTGGGGCCTGCAGGTGAAGCAACTGTGAGGAGTAATTTCTGGCCAGGCGCATGGTTCTCAGAGTATTCGGTAAGAGCGCGACGAGTCTCCTGTAGAAGTAGGACCATGTCTTCTGCCTGCGCATCATTGGTAGGATATTCCCAATCGATGTCGAGGCCATCGAAACCAACATCCTGTAAGATCTGAATGGCGCTGCTCGCGAATTTGGCCCGACCTTCGGGGGTGGACGCAGGCTGAGCGAAGTGGGCAGAGTAGGTCCAGCCACCGATCGATAGGAGTACCTTCAACTTGGGGTTGCTCTTCTTTTGAAGATACAACTGCTTGGCGCATCCATACATGTTGGTACCCACATCGTTCCACGAGTCAGTCGCATAATGCTTGTCAACGTCAGACCAGGCATCTGTCAAAAAGACTTCGCCGGTATCCCGAACATCGGCAAAGGCATAGAGAACATGAGTGAGCTCTTGTGCAGGAAGGTCTTGAGGATTGAAGTTGCGACCATAAATAGCCTGCAAGCGATGTCAGATGTAGATCTTCCGCATTTGAGCCAGCCGACTAACCCAATTGACAAAGTAAGCAACGTTCTTGTAGCCTGATGCGCTTGAACTAGTAGTCATGGTGTCGTTGGTACCACGCGGGATCGCGTTGGCTTGTACAAGGGTGGAGATGGAGAGTAATGATGTTACTCCCGCGAGCATGTTGGCGGCGCGCATCCTTATGATGTCGCTAGTGGCGCGCTATGTTGTGATACGTGGCTGTGGCGCGGGCTAGTGCAGGTACGAACGCGGCTTCGGTTGAGTGCCGAAAGCTCAAATGTGTATAGAAACTGAGGAAAAGGAGTATTGGCGGTGTGAATAGACGGCCAGAGAACGCGTTTTTATATTCGAAAGAATGACTGGATATCAATTATGTCGAAGGAGCGTTGACTGAAGGTGTGCGTCAAAGAGCGTAAAGGAGGGTCACTCGACCACGCAACAACCAAGGAGTAGGGGAGGAACAGTTAGCGAATGCTACGGAAGCTCTCTGAAAGGAATGTGACAGTGGGAGAAAGAAGGAGGGCATGATACCCAGTAAAGACTAGGACTCAAGGGTACATATCTTCATCCACGCGCGCCTACCAAGATGCAAGCGCGGCATGGGCAATAAGGCTGTTTGCGCATACATATCTGACAAGATACGTCAGTCACCAGATCTAGAAGACTTATGGAGTGTGCCTTTGATCGACCAGGTACAGACGGCTACGATCTGGGAACGACGGTTAAAGGCCTCTAGGGCGAACTGCTTGAAGCTCTGACTAGTCGGGTTGTAGACAAGAGCGATAGGTGAACTCGGACGCTCGGTACAGGAATACACTTCGTATCTCCATCGGGCATAGAACGTATGACTCCAACGAAAGCCACAGTACTGACTGGCGATACTTCTCCATCCTCATCCAGTGGATAATGTGGAACAGAACTACAGCTCGTTAGTCGCTCAGAAAGGACATTTGGAAGTTCCTCGGGTGGTAAGAGATTTCAAGGGTCTTGTTGCGATAGCGCTCCCTGGGAGTATGTAGCGTGAAACTCCTGTACTGCTCGTTGGTCAGTCTCGGCGTGTCATGGATGTGTAACGTCAAAATACAACATAGCATCAGGTTGCTTTGCGACCTCATACCGCTTGCTACGCGCCTCATTTAAGACAGCATAGTTTCTTGGGGCAGCCCACGGGTGAAACCATGCATTGGCACATGAATACGTATTTCCAGTGCCGGGTGGAAAGGCGAGCGCAGGAGATATGATGATGTACTCGAGTAGGGTGCATGCGGTAGATACCACCTGAGCCGGGACGGGAAATTAGGTGTCTGCACTACAGACAGTGTGGATGGAGGACTCGATCTTCAGGCTATAGGAGACTATGATCAACTCAACTTGAGTATGCCGTGGGTGATGTTATGTCTCCACTTCTTGCGTGCGCGTGCGTGTGTCAAGCCGTCGGACATTGTAGTCGCTTAGGCCGAGCAAAGATACTGTGAGAAGTGCAATAGCGCCAGGTAGGAATAGACGGTGAGTTGACCGCAGCGTATCGTAGAGACGGAGCGGGGACTGAAGCCGCACGAGGAAAGGGTGCTTGACGGGAAGGATGGCATGCGGGACGGACGGGTGGCCGCATTAAGCCGCGGTGCGTACGCGAGGTATGAGCAGATACAGAAGGAAACCCGGCCTGGATGCAGCGACCTTGTAGTTTGCCAATCTGCGAAGAGATAGGCGTCAAGCGCTCCGAATAAGCCCTTTCTCGACACATTTTCGCGTGCAATCAAAAGGATTTACCCACGTTCGTGCACTTGTGATTAGAGACACGCGGTGCTTTGCTGGGGTTGTTGCAGATCAAAGAAGCGCTATAGCGATAGTACGGCCCATGTCTTGATAACGAGTTAGAGCTGCCGGGGTCAGTACGCACGTCGCGATGCATCATGGCTGCGACTGTAACCTCGGAAGCAGGATGGCCAGGCCGCTGCCCGCCGATCCGATCCCCCACGAATGGCAGGGCTGAGTGCTCGACGCACATGAGTATGTAGTGACGGCGAATAGAAAGCGTGAGTTGGAGCGTGGAGTGTGTAGAGATGGTGATAGTTGATGAGAAAGAAGCGTGGTCGTTCAAAAGGCGGAAAGATGGCTCGTGTGACCAGTCGTTCAAGTGGCGTGGCCAGTGCACGTTCAGCCTCCCACTGCACTGTAGTATCTTCACACCACTCCAAGATGACAGCTTGACGGAACCAGGTCAATGAAACGCCAACCATTTGCATACATGAAAGCAGGTTGCGGGCTCACGCATTTTGAGGTAAACATGCGCCGCACGTGTGCCGTTCTTAATATGGAAAGGGTTGATGCAAACGATGAAGATAAACGACTTGCTATCAAAGGGTATCATAACAACAATAAACGCCATGCTTAGCATATCGGAGACCACCAGACCTTCGTAGGGACCGTGGATCTGGTGAGAAACTCTCTTATTCACGCCCGTAGTCTCCGGACCAAGCCATTTAGAGGCCCCACGGCCTTTCTGCTCAAGACGGCATCTCTCGCCCCATCTCTTGTTCTACACACAGCTCTCTCGACCCTGCCGTCTTTGGTAATGGCCATGACTGCTGTCCGTCTGTCGGACCAGACAACGGTAACCTGCCTAATCGCCGCATCCGCTTCGATGTCCAATATGCGTGCGCTCCCGAAATCGGCATCGTCCTGCTCGATATCCGAACTGGCCTCGTTGTCGCTTACAAAAGCGTTCAGAATCTTTCCAGTCGATACAAAGTTGTCGTCTTCACTATCCTGTCTCGGTTGTGCCAGACCAGCATCCTTCCGTAGTTCTTCCACCGCGTTGACGCGCAGGTGCCAGCTCACGAGTTCCTTCCTCAGCAGTCTTCCGAATCGCACGAGGTCTTGCTCTGGATCGTTCTCTTCGTCTTTGCCGCTCGCAGGTAGCCACTTGTCCGACAGGTGCTGCAGAGGTATACATGGTGGAACAGTGTGCTTGTGTATCTTCATGGTTCTCTTGTCTTGCTTTTGCTTGACGTTGAGCAAGACATGGTACGTCTCGACGAATCTGCCTCCCAGTGCTACGTCTATGCTGACGCCGAGGATGTTGCCGTCATTCAGCGCGTGCGGGTCGGGATCTTTGACTTTGTATGCAGTCACGCCGGCGCAGGCGCGGTAAATGTTTTCGAGGTTGCGTTTCGACTGCCGTGTGATGACATCATTGGCATCATTCGCGGGTTTGTCGTTTGTGTTGGTGCTTTGAAGGCGCGCTGCGAGGTGGGGTTGCGACAGCAGAACGGAGGATAGGTTCGCACGGTGGGCACGGAGTGTTGCTAGTCGGGTATGGAGATCGCTAATGTCTTCGTCGAGCTGTTCGGTAGTCTCCATGGTGAAGCAGTGGATTGTCACGGAGGCGCATCGATGTCCATGTCGAAACGCGTAGAGCGCGCTAACACGTGACTAAGCGTCGAGCAGGGGTGGCCGGAGGTGGGATGGAAGCCCGCGACCCGCCTAGTGCTCCGCCCTCGAGCTCGAGACTAGAGGACACGGTTCCGTATCCGCCCAGTAATTCAAAGCCGGTGGCCATCGTTACTGCATACTGTTACCCGGCTGCTAACACGTTTCTTGACATTCACTAGTCGCTCTCTAAACATCCGTCGCAACCCAGAGTTTGCATCTTCTTTCCTACGCTTCGCCAATCTCAGTCCCGGACTTCAGCCACCTATCACCCGTGCGACTCCTATTACCTACCCACTTGTCCAACTCCACCACCAAAACCCCTCCTCATCGGACGCACGCCACCGACGCACCCAAATGAGCAAACGCGCCTCGCGATCCAAGAACCGCGGCTCTGTATTACGTGAGAAGAGCTCCACCGACTCACTGCAGGAGAAGAAGAACGGAAATGCAAATTCTACGGCCATGAACAGCGCCATGTTGGAACATCGGCGCAAGCATTCGTCCTTTGACAGCAATTCGCCATCGAGCCAGGCTGCATCCCTAATGGGCAACTCCAACTTTTCGCTCGATGACGATGTGCCCAAGCTGGGCCAAGAAGACGAAGGCACGTCCAAAGGGTTCTTCGAGCTGTCCAAGAAGGACCAGAGCAACTTCCTCCTCCTCGTGCTGTTGTACTTCCTTCAGGGCATACCCATGGGCCTGGCACACGGCTCTGTGCCATTCCTGCTCAAACACAACGTGTCCTACGCTGCCATTGGTGTCTTCTCGCTCGCAGCCTACCCGTACTCGCTAAAACTTCTCTGGAGTCCCATCGTGGACGCGGTGTGGTCACCAAAAGTCGGACGCCGGAAGAGTTGGATCCTACCCATCCAGACCATTTCTGGCTTCTCCATGATCTGGCTTGGCAAGAACATCAACCGCATGATGAAGGAGGCGGGCGAGACCGACAGCGGGGTTTGGACTTTCACGTGGTGGTGGTTTGCGCTCGTATTCCTTTGCGCCACTCAGGACATCGCTGTGGATGGTAAGACAGTGCAACTTCTAAACCTGACATGCACAAAGCTAATTGCGAACAGGTTGGGCGCTGACCCTTCTCTCCAAGGAGAACCTCGCATACGCATCGACCGCGCAAACCGTCGGCCTGACCGCAGGCCAGTTCCTTTCCTACACCGTCTTCCTGGCCTTCAATTCCAAAGACTTTGCGAACAAGTGGTTCCGCAGCACTCCTGCAGACACCGGCATTATGGAGCTTGATGGCTACTTGAGCTTCTGGGGGTGGGCATACCTAATAGTCACTCTTGGACTGGCAGTCATGAAGCGCGAAGACCGCGATAAGAACGGCGATGGCATCAGCGAGGTTTACCGCACCATGTGGGGCATCTTGAAGTTGAAGAACATTCAAAGCTTCATCATCATCCACCTCATCGCCAAGATCGGGTTCCAAGCCAACGATGCTGTCACAAGTCTGAAGCTTCTAGACAAGGGCCTCAAGCAGGAACAGCTGTCTCTCGTCATTCTTGTAGACTTTCCCGTCGAGGTCTTCCTAGGCTACTACATCGGAAAATGGTGCCAGACCTACCCGCCGATGCACATCTGGTGTTGGTCCTTCATTGGCCGCCTGGTGGCTGCTGGGTTCGCGCAGTTTGTCGTGTCCATCTTCCCGGCTGGAGGAGCATCGTCTGGTTTCCTGATGCTGGTCATCGCTGAACATGTGCTGTCGACCTTTATGAATACGGTCATGTTCGTCGCAGTCAGCGCGTTCCACGCAAAGATCTCTGATCCGCTCATCGGTGGTACCTACATGACGCTGCTCGCTACGTAAGTTCCAATTCCCTGCTCTCTCTCTACGTATTATTAACAACAGTATAGCGTCTCAAACCTAGGCGGTACATTCCCACGCTACTTTGTCCTCAAAGCCGTCGACATGTTCACTTCGGCAACCTGCATACCACCTACGGATGTTCCCAAGGCAGATCTTTTGAAGGGGCCACTTATCACACAGGCCTTCTCTTGCTCGCTAGAGGCAGAGAAGCATCGCTGCCAGGCAGGCGGGGGTGTCTGCAACGTCACGAGTGACGGATACTACATTGTGAATATTCTGTGTATTGTGATTGGTGTAGTGACGTTCTGGGGCTACATCAAACCTGCCGTTATGCGCATACAGGCGTTGCCGCTAAGGGCATGGAGGATTGCTGGATAGGTAGATGACCTACGAAGTGTACGATATAGATGCAAAGCTTGAATTTAGATGAAGGCACATTGCGCGGCTATAGGCTGCTGATCAAAAACTTTTGGACCCAGAAACATGGCAACAATCCGTCTCCAAGCCGCTTGCGCACGAATGTGCCGCGCTCGCGCGTTCTCCCGTGACCAGGCGTGCTGATCGGCCAATAGTGGGTGGCCTGATGCACCAGTGTAAGCCACGCCGTCTGGAGCGCATGCAGGTACGTTTGCGCCGCAGTACATGTCTCAGACCGCTCAAAGAAGGATCAAACTATGCAAGGGTTTGCTCACAAATGACCTGCACTGCAACAGTTGGGTGGTTATGACTTGAGATTATTGGGTGAAGGAACTTTAGCGGCTCGCAGTCAGTCATCAGATGGTCTGGGACCGTTCTGTAAGCAGGCCGAGCCTCGACTCAGCATGCCGAAGACGCCGATAGAGGGACATGTTAGCTGGTGCGATATGTCAGGCCATGTGTAACGGCTGCGGCCCGGGGTGAACTAGCAAAGCTTTGAGGGATCAGATGCCTGCGCCTTCTCCGAGAATCTCGCAAACCCCCGAAGTCGCCGAAGACACGCTGTGCCAGCTAGAGTAGCCTCATACCTCGGAAACGTGCACAAGGCGTCGACGCTTACCTTCCTGCGGCTAGTCGCCCTCGACATCGCGTTTTGACATCTGTCGCAAATTGTCTGCTGATCTTGAATACTCTTTTACCTCTATTCCTATTCGCCTGACGTGTCGCGCCCTTTTCCGTCCGTCGCAGCATAAACCTACCTAGTCCGACACCTTGATCGACGTCCGACTTTACATCAACCCCAAAGTTTACCGCAGCCGTTGAACATCCAAGGGCCCAGCCAATCCCTTACCTACGCCAATCCCGCCGAGGTGCAACACTGATAACGAGTCCCTGCGAATCGTCTTATCTCGAATCCTACGAACAGTGTTGATACCGCCTGTATCGCCAATCTTGTCGCGTCGTCCTTCTATATTGTACGAACAATCGCAATGGCTTTTACGGCGTACCAACCTAAGGCGCGGGTCCAGAAGCCCGCGCCTCATTTCTCTGGCACTGCAGTCGTCGATGGCACATTTGAAGGTATGCGACTGTTTACCGTCTTGCACCTTTCTCCTTCCTTCACCCATTCGATTGCCCATCAGTCAGAACAACGTACTGACAACTCGTAGACCTCAGCTTAACAGCCTATACATCCACCAAGCAATGGCTCGTCCTCGGTTTCGTCCCCATGGCCTGGACTTTCGTTTGCCCGACCGAGATCCTTGCCTTTAGTGAACGCGCATCCGATTTCGCTGCCCGTGGCGCCAGCGTCGTCTTCTCCAGCACAGATAGCGAGTATAGCTTGCTTGCTTGGACAAACGCAAGCAAGAAGGAAGGAGGCCTGGGCAAAATCAATATTCCTCTGCTGAGCGACAAGAATCACAGCATTGCAAAGGACTACGGTGTGCTGATCGAAGAGGAGGGGATTGCGTTGCGAGGTCTGTTCTTGATCGACCCGAACGGCATCGTACGACAGATCACCATCAACGACCTTCCTGTTGGAAGATCGGTCGACGAGACTCTTCGCCTGATCGATGCCTTCCAATTCACCGACAAATACGGCGAGGTACGTTGCTTCCTATTCCCATGCACCCCCAAGTACGCTATATGCTAACATAGTTTCACTAGGTCTGCCCTGCTAACTGGAACCCTGGTGACGAAACCATCAAAGCGACCCCCGCAGGCAACAAGGAATACCTCGAGAAGCTCCATACTGACACCAAGATGTCTGACGTCGCCGCAAAGACAAACGGTACGGCTTCTTCGGCGCGTTGATAATGGCCGGCCAGACCTCAATGTTTCGAAAACAGTGTGCTGATCTTCCTTCTTTCAGGAACTGCATGAAATGCAGATGTTTTGGCGTGCTTTGATCCTGCGATATTAGCATATGCGTCTCGTCTTTCATCTGTGATTAGTTGCATTGATCGGCGTTGTTCTGCCGCTGTGCTACGCCCATCATACCAATAGAATCCACTCCATACAATGTTCAAAACTTGAAATCAAATGCAGCCGTGAAGTTGGTGGCATTGCGTGTAACGTGAAGGCTTGGTTAGGAACACTGTGATGCTCATTTCCTGATTTCCAACAGGTCTTTGATTCCTACATAAGCTCACGAAAAATTTCAGCAGGATGACAAGGCCCCAGAACTTCTGTAGAATAATTAAGTCGCAAGCGTGTCGCGACATTGCGAAGGATGCGCGTTAGCTTCCGCTTGGCGCTACGGAAACAACGCGACGCCACGGATCTGTACCTCTTTCGACATAGCCCACAAGAAGGGCCTCCAATCATGGAGCCACGCCTGAATACGCTACTGGACATCTCGAACCAAAGCAGCATGTCGTACTTCACAGAGCCATCGAACATGAGCTCACCTGGCTCGCAACGACCATCACACCACATTAATCACAGCTTCGTCCGCCCAAAAGCGCTCATGCTAACGAACGCATCTCCTGAAACCGCTCAGTCGAACGACCTCAGAAGAGACGGACAGGAGAGGCTATATGCCACACGATCGATGCCCAGTGCTCCGATAGCACAGGTATTGAACGATGAGGCGAATGTGCTCGAGGCTGCACAACCCGTGCCATCCACCTTTGCCCCATCAACAACACCTTTCAGTGGAAGGCTAGTTGATTTACTTCTGGATAGCCCGGATCACGCGAGGCAAAGATGGGATCAAGAGCAACAGTATCTTCAGCCCGAAAACTCAGGATGCAGCCCAGCTGTCATCAAACTACCGAGGTTACCGCAGCCTCCCAAGCGGACAGCGAAGCGACCTAGAATCCCGCCGTTGCTACAGGGCTTGCATCAACCTCCGCCACTGCCGCCTGAGGGCAGGCTCTTCCCACCGATCACTGGGGAAAAGAATGCTTTCGCGGGCGACAGAGGGTATGATGCACGTTTTGAAGAGTCCAGGACCAAGGATGTGGACGAGCATGCCTTTCTCGAAGGGAATGCCATGGAGTACAACAGGGCTATTCAACATGCCGAAACCCCGTCATGTTCCCAAGCGTCAGTTCCGCCTGTATCTTCTAGTGTAATAGATGTGGCCCATGAGACAGATGTAGCAACAAACGCCTCCAAGGACTCTGAAGCGCTGTTACAGCCCAAGCGTGGAAAGAAGCGAAACAAGTGGTCTGAACAAGAGACCAAAGATCTGCTCCTAGGCGTCAGCAGGTACGGCATAGGCAACTGGAAGAAGATACTACAGGACCAAGACTTTGCATTCAACAATCGCACCGCCGTTGATCTAAAAGACCGCTTTCGTGTATGCTGCCCTGGTGAAGGTCTGAAGCCGCGACAGCCAAAGACCAAGGGAAAAGAGAAGATAAGCCTAGTTGAGACACCACCGGATTTGCCAGATCAAGCCATCTACACTCATCAGCATTCTCTTCCCATTAGCGAACGCCATTCTGACATCAACCTCATTTCGAATTCCCCCAGCCCGACAGAGAACCAGCAACGTGGAGCTACTCGTAACAAGGCTACTACGCAGCTGGATCTAGCAGAGCTCGGTATTCGCGAACCATTCTCAAAAACCACACGTCGACCACGCCGGGCCTTCAGCGCACGCGATGACATCAACTTGCTCAAGGGCTTTGAGAAGTACGGGTCTGTATGGCACTCGATGCGCGACGATGAGGATCTAGGATTTGCAACTCGGCATCCAACAGACTTACGTGATCGATTCAGAATTCGGTATCCGGACAAGTACGCCAAAGCAGGATACAAACTCAAAGCAAAAGAGAAGGAACGTACATTGTCAAAACAAGCACAAGAACAAGAGAAACAGGACGATTCTTCGCAACAGCCAGACCACAATCCACTTCAGAACCCTTCGCACCACGCGAAATCAAGTCACTCGCAGAACGACATTACCATCTTAGCGAAAGACGTTCACCCTTTCAACAACAACGGACCAACCACAACCATGCAATCACACTGTACGATCTCCAACAACAACACCACCACCAACAACAGCAATAATCTCAACCCCGCCCTAAAGCCCTTCAACCCCTCCTCCTACCTCTCCGACCCCCTCCCCACCCTCCCCTTCGACGACCCAGACACCGACCTCACACAAGACATGAGCACCGTTGGCGACGAAAGCCCAATAACACTAAGTCGGAATATTCTCCGTTGGGCGGATGCGAATCCGTCGTCTCTGTACGCCTTGCCCGCTACTTCTGCGGCTTCTGCTTCGGCGTCGACGGGGAATGGGCTTGGTGGTAGTCTTGGTAGTAAGGGGGCTGGGGGAGGCGGGTCCGGTGGTGGTGGTGGTGGTGGTGATGGGGGGATGAATGGGTTTCTCGGAGGAGGAGGGGGAGGTCAACAGCAACAGCAGCAGATGGATGGTGGGAGGGGGGTGGTGCTGCCTGAGGCGGATAGTTGGTTATTGGGTGGTGAGAGGGTTTCGACGTATGGGATGTATAGGCATCGATCTTAGCATAGGCTCATGTGTCGCATGTGGCAGTGGGGAACGTAGGTAGAGGGTCAAATAGCCACCTCATGTTGGCAGGATAGGGACTGCTCGATACAACGACAAACTTCAGTAAAATTTTCCAATTCGGTATTCTTGAGAGCTCAAATGCAGACGTATCCATCAGGTCTACATGACCCGTGCCCTCCTCCCACATAAACCCGGGTATCACTTGTTCAAACCGACCGTGGCCCAAACCCCCTATCTCGCAGTCTGGCAGATAACAAGAGCAAATTCTCGGAAGTCTCCCCTGGTAGCCTCTTCCACATCCTCCTCAACGATACGGCCATACTTCTCCTCGTACTCCGCCTTAACTCTAAGAAGATGCTGCCGGTCCCAATGTAATCTCACAAGACGCGAGATGAGTAGTTCGACTCGCTGTTGGCGTTCATGCTTGCTGGATGTTGTTTCGCGCGAGGACAGGCGACTGTTGGAAGAGCGGCCGTCGTTTGCGGGCTCCATGAGGTCGACGAGAGCGTGGTGGAGGAGCATGGCATCTCTTGCAGGACGGTTGACTGGGGCGCGTAGTCAGTATATAACCAAGAGCTGGGAGGCATGGGAGAACACTTACTGACGCCATTGAGAATGTGCGCAATGACTTCACCGACCAAATTGTTGCTCTTCTTGAGAGCGTCTCTCGCGAAGTTGCCTTGGTACTTTCTCTCATATGTTCTCAGCACCTCGCGCAGATGTGCGTCACTTCGCATGATGACAATACTGAGCATGGCACTTTCTCCACCTTCCCTGGCTCTGATGGCCTTGTATAGGGTATCGACATCGCGATTGCGATATTCCACCGGCCACACATCGCTTTCTTCCTGCCGATTGGCTTCCAGTGCCATTAGCACAGCTTTGCGGAACTTGTCGGCTTTGAGCTCCTTGTCCATGCAGCGGATGAGGGAATCGCCATAGCGCTTGTCTTTGAATGAGTCTTTGATCTCGCGAATCTCGTGGTTTTGTCGACCCATTAGCGATTCGATAAGGAGCTCTCTCTTCGCCGAGTTGGACTGGTACCAGTAGTTTGCCCAGTAGCCCTCGCCTTCATATTTGCCTAGGGCCGTCACGTAGGCAATTTTGCCAAAATTACCGTTGGTCTTCAACTTGATGTGTTTGGCGATGTTGATACCCCTGCCTTGTACTTTGCAGTGTCGCTTGTACTCGGCTCGCAACTCGAGCATCTGGTCGTGTGTGAGGATTGGGAGGATTTCGCATATAGTCTCCACATCTGGCGTCCGCGCCGCCAGTGCGTCGACTAGGGCTAGAGCGTCATCAGTGGCATCGTATATTCTCGCTTTCCGCTTCTCCTTTTCAGGGAGGCGGTCGTCGCGGCCATATGCAGCCATTGCCAGCTTGTCGGTATGCCTGGAGGACCTCGAAGGGCTAGGCGTTCGTCGCGAGGAGGTGGAATGAGCACGGCGGCGGCGGCCATGACCAGACTCACGAGGGGAGAGAGTATCGAGAGGAGGCAGATGGTCAAGATCGTCATCTAGCATCAGCGCCTGAGGCATAGGGCTGATGGACTGGTACGTTCCATGGTACGCTTCGAGCAGAGGACTCGGCGGCGGTAGTCCGGAGGGGAATCCCCCAGGCATGCCTCCCGGAATGATAGTTTGTATATCGGGTCTGTTCCCGCTGACGGACAGCCTATCCATACGCAGCCCATCCGGCCTGTCGCCTGCGCCAAGGTGACCTTGTGGACGCATCTCTACTACATTACGGCCGTCGTGTGTGCTCATTGGCCCCGAGTAGGAAGCCGCTCGGTGATGATCAGGGCGCGGCGAGTGACTGCCCATGGGAGGAGGCGGGTAGAACGACTGGTCCGCTGGGGGCGGCTGAGGAGCCAGTGGCATGGTCGCATACTGAGATGGCGATGGAGGGGCCTGTGATGCGTACGGGGACTGCGGAGGCGGCGCATGCGATGCATACTGAGGCTGCGATGGGGGTGCTTGCGACGCATACTGCGATTGTGAGGAAGGAGCCTGCGGCACGGCTGTGTACTGGAGTTGGGGCGTCGGGGGGTAGGAAGGGCTTATGGGCTGGGAGTTGTGCCGCACGACTGGCGGCGGCTGGTTGTTGCTGCCCACGGGCTTCGCGGTATACTGGATATTCGTGGGCGGACTCGCATACTGGAAAGCGCCGTTGGTCTTCGCTGTCGCCGTCGGGGTGCGCGTGGGCGCGTTGTGGGATGCCGACGTCGCGGTATAGGCAAAGCCTTGGGCGGTCGGCGCATACTGGACGTTGCCCGGCTGCGCATACGCGACGCCCGCCGAGTTGGCTGCCGTGGTGGCCGGATGGGCGAACGAGGCGGACTGGGTATACCCTGGTCTCTCGTGGGGAGGGAGATCGGTGTAGTTCCCCATGGTGATGGGTTCGCTGGCTGGTCTGGTCGCCATTTCTCAGTTCAAGTCCCGCAATGTCTGTCGCAGACATCTGGCAGACGCATTTCGCGCAGTACTCACGTCGCATATTGCTGACCCGGCTGCCTAATCTCATACTGCGGGGTTGCAGCGCCGTTGTCAGCTGCACCTTTGTATCGCTGAGGCTCGCGCCCGTCACGGCTGCGTGAACGCGCACCCTCTCGACCGCGCCCAGGCGATTTGGACCGCGACCGCCTTGACTTGTCGTCTGGCCGCAAAGACATGGCCTTGATCTTTCACTGCTCAATTGATGAGACTAATGTCAATTCTCGTGGTCGAGGTGTACGCGCTGAACACTTCGGTCCAGTGCACGGCGCCACGAAAATTGCGATGGCTGGAAGCTGCCACACCATTGCCGCTCCTTTCAGCCTCGCTCATGTTTGCATTGGGGGCCAAAACTGTTGCTCAATTTGCCCATCTCCCTGGCACCGGAGGTCGGGTAGGCGCCTACGTCCATCGTGGAGCAGCTCCGTGAGTTCTTGTCGTAGCATCACGATGCAAAAGGTGTCGATGGTCCTGATGTGCACGTACGTCGAAAGTGGAGAGGGAGGCTTTCCCGACTCCAACACATCCGTCCGCACTGAATCACACTCATGATTCTTATCTTGCGTCACAGCGTCAAGCGAGCGCTAGAAACGCCGAAAAACCTCGTTCAGAAACTTATGTTGAGCCGCTTCAGCTCCGTAACGCGCCGATATCAACGTCGCCATCGGCGAAGACAGGAACTGTGGGTCTCAACTCACCGCTTCAGCTACCTGACATGGAAATATCGAGCATTCTACGCACATTACCAGGGAATGCTTGGTACCTTAATGCTTAGCCTATCCGTCTGGTGAAAAGATTTCAGCTCGAGCTGAAGTGGTGTATCGGCAGAGCGCCACGATGCATAGATAAACAAACCATGACAGCAGCTTATACGCGGTGACCATCAGCACGAGCCGCGCTGTTCTAGTTGTCACTTAAAGCTGAGGTGATACCATTTTCAAATGTTACAATCGTTATTTACATTCTACTAGAATCATGGCTGTCGTTATTCCGCCTCCCAGTAATCTCCAGCCGCAGTCTGCACTCCTCCAATTGCCAGCAGAAATCAAACACATCATATTTGGCTTATGTTTCGTTGCCGACACCCCCATAGTCGACCCTCAAATCGACAATTCCAAAACGCGAGATGACAATGCCGTTCGTACGACACCAGGCGCTGCTCTGCTTCAGACATGCCGTAGAACCTACCACGAGATCGACCGCCGTCCACTCTTCGCGCAGAACACCTTCCGCTTCTCAAATCTGACCGGAATGCGGGCTTTCCTACATGCGCTTCCTGTGGATTACAGAACGCGTATCCAGGACATCGAAATTGACTTGCGAGAGTTGAACTCCGATCGCCCTCACATTGCGCGTGAGTGGCTGCAGTACGTTACGCTAGCAAAGAATGGAGGCTTGAATTCATTGCGCGCTGATGCAACCGGTCTACGGTGCCTGCGGATCAACCTAGAGGCATGGCCAGTTAGTGAGTACTCTCAATCATAATTTCATGTGAGGCATATACTGACATGGCAATTCAACGTTCAGTCGCCGTAATTCGGAGTGAACTTTGGAATTTTCTTCGACGCATGCTATCGGAGCTCGAAGGCTTGGACAAAATTGTCGTAACTGGATCGAGCAGAGGCAAGGCAATGGAACGAAAACTGCCATGGTCACCAGTCCATTTTGTTGGTGGAGACGACGTTGGAACCCACGACCTGCTTACTCGAATGAACAAGTGCATCACCAAAACCGGCAGCGACAACGCCGTCAAGTGGCAGCGACAAAACGGCAGATTACAACTTGAAGTAATCTCCAAGCCGGGTTTACACGAAAGCGTTGCCGCACAAGGTTTACGAGCTCCGCAGAACGAGAGCAGCACAAAATTCTTGCCACCGAGCGGAGAATGTTCCTTCTTGGCCTGCGAGAATCGCCACTCCTATGGAAAAGAACCCGTGGATAAGGAACTCAATCCCAATGCCGCCGAATGATGGGCCTCGCCGGGTCCCAAGGACCATAAATCTCGTTCTTGTACTTCTGGAGACCGATGAGCCACCAACTGCAGACCCCCATGCTCAACACAGTGAGGATGACCCCTACGATCGCACCTGCCAAGAACGTACTACGACCTCCACCTGTCAAGGTGACGAAGAGACCACCCCACGCGCCGGTTACTAGAGTGACGGTAAGGGCGAGATGACCCCACGGAGATCGAGCGCGAAGCTGCCGACGGAAGATCGGGAATAGACCGTATATTTCGATGGAGAAGAGGGTCAACGAGAAGACGTGTGTGGTGGATGGCAGGCGTGATGCAAGAACAGCCGACGCCATCATGGCCGAATTCGTGGATATGGAAGCTGGTAATCTGTAGTCATACAACTTAGCCGTACGTACATCCAAAAGACTAGTGTCGTTCATACTGTGCGCCTGTGCCTGCGCTGTAGTCGAAAAAGGCAACGTTCATCATGAGGAGCCATGTGCTCAGCGCCCATATCGAATCGCTTGTCGTAGAGCGCGTAAGTGACTTGAGAATTGGACTGAGTCCAAGTAAAGCCGCATAAATCAGCAACGCTGATTTGGCAGTCGCCAGGCGCTGTTGAGTTCGCCCTGAAAGCGCCGACGATGGCTTCATTGCAGCTTGGTCTGAGTCTGAAGCGGGTGTCGATGCCACATTGGAGACAGTCTCAAATTCCTGTCCCATCCAATGATCCCATAAAAACCAGGCTAGAACTGTGCACAAGGTAGCCCATCCCACTACTGCGACAGGCGATACTCTGTCATGGATGATAGCCACAAAACAGCAACAAAATATGACCACTGTCGCAAGATGCTGCACAATAACGGTGGCATCACCCATCAGCGACCAGAACTCGTAGGGCTGTAATCTTGGATTGCGCTGGAGATGATCAAGAAATGTCGTTTCATCTGTGTAGTTATCGGGAACTGTATACGTCAGACCTGGTTGGAGATGCGAGACCGAGGCCTGCGTGAGCACTCACAGGGCTGCTTGAACCATAGTAGTTTCTTGTAATTGCCCTTTGCAGGTCGGTTTACGATTCGCGGCCCACCCTTCCTCTTCCTGCTAGTAGCAGCGAGAGATGCGCCCGCTGGGTCTAGTAGCCGGTTTTGGTACATGTCACACTTGTTCGGTTTGTCCGCAGATATGGTTGATGGTGAAGAGACAGTTCAGGTTAGAGCTAAGTCGGGGGAACGCGTTTCTGCACGTGCGGCCAAATGCGGACAGGCGCGATTATGTCCGAAATTATGTCCGAAATTATGTCCGAGCTTTCAGGATATCAAAATCTCGAATTGTATTATTAACGATTAAGTGTTCTCCAAGCGACCATTATCCTCCTAGGCTTCGGCACAGTTGCGCGACCGGCCTTGACCTTAAAATTGTCCTGTTTCAACACCCTCCCAATCTCCATATAGCTCTCGACCGCGACCCGAATTGGCCCTCTCGCTTCAACTGGTAATTGCTCGATTGCAACCTTGGTTTTCTCATACAAAGAAAACGCGTCCTTAAGAAGACGCTTACGTAGCGTCTCGATCTGTGCGTGGTCCGGTTTCTTCAATACCTCATCGTAACTCAATCCAACTTCAGACAGCCATTCCAAAGGAAGATAAACACGATCTATCTTAGCGTCTACTTGTATATCTCGCGCAATGTTGACGTATTGCAAGGCGACACCCATGCTGTTTCCAGCAGTGACTATGGCACGCTGTTCTTCGGCGGGCAAGGCGCTGGGATACCAGTTGAAGATGAGTTGAATACACATCTGAGCTACAGTGCCCGCTACGCGCTCTGAATACAAGCGCAAATCCTCCGTGCTCTTGATCAGGGGTCCCTTCTCGAAAGCAAGATCCATCTCGAAGCCGCGTAGAAGATCCTCCAGTGGTTGATGCGAGAGTTTAACGGCTGGAAGCTGGAGGAGCGCAGATTGTGTGGCAGCAGGAAAGTCCTCGCGAACTTGGTCATGTACTGTAGACTTGGAAGCAGAATCGCTATACGTATTGTTTAGGAACTTGCGCAGTTTCGCTATCCAGGCCTTGGCTTCATCAGCGGAGGAAGCATTGTCCACCAGATCGTCAGCAACGCGGCAGAAGGAGTAGAGCAGCAGCAGGTCTGCTCGTAATGGTCCGGGGAAAGTTGCGGAGGCCAGGTAGAAACTACGGCTCTTACGCTTGAGACGTTGCACAGCCTCGCTAAGGCCTATAAGGCGGGCATCATCGTACTTGGAGCATGGTGTGAGCAGAGCGCCCATCAGCTTTTTGGGTGATGGAAGCAGGGAGGGCTTCGCAAACATGGCCGGGAACGTGTACAGCACTGCAAGGGCATTGTCAAATGCTAATTGACCAAACACTATGAGGCAGTTGGTGACGAGGAAGAAGAGGGCTTCCTCAACCTCGAGACCGTCCCACAAGTGCACACCATATTTTGTACCTGTGTTGATTACCCATGTTCCTCTGCGCAAGGCTAGGGTGTCGACTATCCAGAGGTAAAGTGTAGGAAGAATAATGGGTATCGCGGTGTTGGTCAGAGGAAGGGCCAGAATGAACTGATAGGCGAGACTCCTAGGTTTAATTAGCAGGAATCCGGGATGCGATAGCGGTTGGCTTACCAGAGCAGCAGCAGGAAGGGGCCGGCCCATATTAGAATGAGTCCAGTATATGTGCCCATGCTGTCATCCTTGATGCAACGCCATCCCCAGGCGATGACACCCAGAAAGAAGACCTGGCCAATACGTTTCGTGTATGCCCATCGGGTGTTGGACGCGCCACGTTCCGGACTTAGATAGACAGGCTGAAAGGTGGGCCGACTGAGGAGAAGGTACAAGACTGATGTATTGTATGTCTGCACGACGAAGAAGAAGACCTCTTCCAGCGGAATATCAAGCAGCTTTGGACCGATAATGACATGGGCGGGGTAGCTCCAGATGCCGGTGCGGATAAGGTAGGAATCCCATGGTATAGTCGAGCCAACGGCAACCTGATGTGTTAGCACGAAGTATGTTGACGAGGATACGCGTACCAACCACTATCAGATAGACGACCTTGTACACGTCGAGTTTAGTAAAGAAAGGGCGGTATAGCCAGGTGAGCAACACGGCCGGAGGGATCGTGTACTTGAGATGACTAGCCGTCACTGTCAGCCATGTTGAAGTAACGTAGGAGGCGCGTCACGTACACGAGCGCGTAGTCGAAGCCCATGATGGCACCGTGGGAGCAGAAGGGAGTAGCCGGAGAGATGTGCAATCGGCGTCACTCATGGAGCCAATGCGGCAGGGGGAGAGACTAGGCCGCGGCGGGCGTCAGGCACAAGATAATGCGCAAGAGAGGCCATGATGGAGAATATTTGCAACATGGTTGAGACGGCGCTGCTCGGGCGGCTGTGAAGGATGCGCGCTGCCCCAAGCGGCCTAGCGGGCATGCAAGCCTCGACATGACATCACGATTGCCCGGCCGCCATCACGACCAAGGCCGTGGAGCACATGTCAACCGGATACCCGTGGAAGCGGGCAGCCCTGCCATTGTTGCATCATATCATGTCACCAGCTCCTGATCCTGACTCCGTGCCCTGCCCCCCAACGGCCGCGGCGACACGTGAAGACTGCACGCGCTGTACTAATGAATTGCCTGCGCCGTTGTCCTGAACCAAACCGTTCTCCAATGCCGCCAAGCTAAGAATACCGCCGTAATGTCCACGCCTGGACCGAACAGCAGCAAGTCGACGCCTAAACACCCGTACGCCTTCCTGCTCATTGCCCTACACGGCCGGACTAACCCGCTCCAGATATCTCTCTGGCAACTTCGCGCCTGTCTCTACAACATGTCCCCCTACGCCTGTCTCATGGACCGGCCGCATTCCACCAGAGCTGCTGGGCGGCATGTACGTCCGCAACGGCGGCAATCCCGTGACCAATTCCGACTTGGGACGTGAAGCGCATTGGTTCGATGGCGACGGCATGCTCGCTGGAGTCTGGTTCAGTCGCTCTGTCGCCGACCCTACCAAGCCCGCTGTCAAGTTTGTCAACCAATTCATCACCACCGACGTGTACCGCACCGCCGTTGAGAACCCGAGTCTGCGCACGCCTATCCTACCTAGCATCGCGACCCTGGTCAACCCTGCCTCCAGCTTGTTGCTTATCCTCTGGCGCATCCTACGTACTGTACTGGTCGTCTTCTGGACCCATCTCTCAGGCTCTGCACGCGCTATCAAGCGCATCAGCGTCGCCAACACCAGCATACTATACCACGATGGACGTGCGTTGGCGACATGTGAGAGCGGACCGCCAATGCGCATTGCGTTGCCAAGCCTGGAAACCGTCGGCTGGTTCGACGGTAACCGTGCCGAAGGCGAAGCTACACCCCGCGACCAGGACACCAATGACGAGAAACAGCCTGAAGCTCTTGGTGGAACTGGTGTGCTGAGCTGGATGAAAGAGTGGACAACGGGTCATCCCAAGGTCGACAAGGTCACGAACGAGATGGTTCTGTTCCATTGCAACTTCGTCGCGCCCTATGTTCACTATTCCCTACTTCCAGCAGAAGGCTCTGTTGCAAAGAGATCAGGTTCAGAGGGAAGCAGATTAATCAACGCGCCAGTGCCCGGGTGCTCTGGCGGGAAGCTTATGCACGATTTCGGTGTGTCACGACACAATACCGTCATACTGGACCTGCCGCTCTCCCTTACCCCATTAAACTTGGCGATGAACAAGCCCATTGTCTTTTACCAACCTGAGAAACCCGCCAGATTCGGTGTCTTTCCCCGGCGACACCCGGAATTAGTACGTTGGTTCGAGACAAGCGGCTGCTGTATTCTTCACACGGCCAACACTTGGGATGAGTACAACAGCACCGGCGATATATCAGCCGTTAACATGCTAGCTTGTCGGTTGACTACCGCATCTCTTGTGTTCAGTGCCGGGAACATTGAACCTCCTCCAAACCCGAGCAAGAAGCAAGCGAGCAGGCCCATGTCTTTCTTCGC